CAAATCGATCACATTCAGTTCACTTATTTCGATTATAAATACACGGCATATATTCAACAATATATGCCTGGTCAGTTGATAAGGGCCAACCACCTTGCATACCTAGATAAATTGACCGACTGAAAAAATGTTGAGAAATTACAAACAGAAGTCTATGGACGGATTGGTGAGTATGCATGTCGGTTTGAAACGCGGTATCGAACTTTATCAAGGTTTACACAGTTCCCTCACCGGGTGTGGACAATACGTGCGGCTGAAAGGAGTTGAGGCACCGAAGGACTATTCCGTGATATACCGTAATAGATACAGTATCATTTTCAGTGGCTTACTAAGTTTCAGTGATTACACTGAATGCGATGTTTCAGTTAAAACTTGCTCCAACTGAATAGTATTTTGTGCTCGCCAGACGCAAAGCAAACTGGAGAAGTAAACGATAATAATGGTAGTAGAAATAGTAATAGTAGTTGTTGTTATAGTTGTAGTAGTAAACAATGGTGTGATCAACTTTCGTTTCTCAATTTTCGATATAACCTTATCTTTATAGAAGCACCGAAAAACGGAACAGGATGGCTACTTCACCCTTTTCCGGATTTGTGTGTAGTGTATCGTTTTCCGTTCATTGCCAGGTCTTGAATAAAATCAGTTCACACGCACGTGATATCGGTGGTCCCCCACAGCGAATATAGGGATTATCTCTTTGTTTTGATGACTTTCCGAACAGTATGATAGGAATGGAAGAGGGAAGCATTCCTTTCAAGTGGCCTGATTTATTTATTTGATTTTGCCAATCTCGTATTAATTCCTAAAGGTCATTTTTCCCCAAGGTGAATCACCCAAGTGGTGTATTGATGCAATGCACCTGTTCGGGGACAGGTACCAAAGTTATGCTAATCATTTCTCCCGCAATAGCTGTGTGCGTGGGTGTGGAATTTAGCCGATGTACATAAACACGTGCCGTCAAACCTGACGAGATATTTTCTGGCTAAAAAGAGAACGCAAACTGTTCAACAGTATGCAACTGGTAGATAGATAATTAAGGAATGTAGATTTTGAGATTAATTCTACGAGAATGATTAAGGTTACGTCAGTAACAATTTCGGATATTGTTCAGTTGACTGCTCAGAGCCAACGCAAAGGAAATGCAAGTTCCCACGTATAATATCAATTCTTATAGCATACAAATTTTTAGGTTAAACGCCAGAATGAGTAAAACACAACGATGCATTTATGAAAAGCAGCCCGGGGACTGAAAGTGTATTAGACTGAATGACAAAAAGATTAGGTGGTAGTGCAAAGATTCGAATCTCCAATCCTGGAGGAAAATGCACTCTAAGGACAACAGCTTAAACCATTCAACAACCAAAAGATTATGATTTATGGGTTTCTAAATGTAATGAACGTGTCCTGTAGTCACAAGATTACATCAACAGGTCAAAAGTTGTCTGGATGACCCGGCGACTGAAAAGTGAACAGGAGAAAGGGGAAATTAGAAATAATACGAGAGAGATCAATAAAATTGTCTAGAAGTAAATCCCTTATCTGGCAGCTTAAGTAACCTAAAACAGTGAGAAATGTGAAAAAGCAACAGCTATAATGCTGTCTGAAAACACGGAGAACTAAATGGACAAAAAACAAATATTTTGTTGAAGTTAAACTGAATCGTATCCAGATGGTTTCACCAATCAACCAGGTGCCTTTGAGGGAAGTGAATACCTTGGTCAGCTTTCCGGACAAATAATTTGATAACCTGAAGGTACTGAAACCTTACAGGATTCTCATAATCCGATGAGTTGATAAAAAGAGGTCTAGGATGGGTATCACCCAACAGCCGTTCACTACAAACCTTGTCCCGAAAGGTATAGGCAAAAAATGCTTACGAATCGGCTTTTGTTCCCGATTTCGTGCGCGCTGAAACGTCGGCTTGCACAGCACAGGATTGCACACAGCTGGTGACCAGAGCCAATCCACGATATGGGTTTCTTCTTCAGCACAACATTCGTCAAGCACCTGGTTATCTGGACTGTGTACACACATCCGGTGTGTTTGTGGGTTGTACATTCACGTCGACGGTGACATGAATCTAGCCCAAGCCTGGCTGTGTCATCGATCGATCGATCAAACCGAACCGACTGTAATGCAGACAAAGGGAGGGTGTCTATGTACAAACGTTGACCGAATGCCATGCGCTATGACCCCAGTATTCGATGTCGGAAACGCGCCTTTCACAAAAAAGGCCATTGTAACCAACACCAGACCACACCTCCATGACGTGTAGCGTCATCCGACATACCGTCGGATGGCGTGGATTCGGATAGATGTACACATGTGGTGCGCACAGGTCAGGGCAGAAATGAGCCGGGAAAACCGGAGCGGGAAATCACACGCGCACCCGTCAGACTTGTCATGGTTCCGTTGTGACCTTGAATTGCCAATCCGCAGTGTTCCCAAAAGGCGTCGGTAGGCACGATATCGCATTTGCGATGATTCATGTATCGGTCAGTGAAATTCAGAGGTAGGGGAACGCAAAAGCGAAATAGACTGCACGCGATTGTACCTTTTGTTCCCTACACTTTCTGAAGGGCAGAAAATACGATCAGTTATTTAAGTTGCATACATTCAGCACTGGAAATCGATAAACCATTAATTGTACTGAGAAGAATGTTTTACTGTTTATTTTTAATGAAAACCCCTCAAGCTTCATTTCTTCATAAGCACAATCCATTTAATCATTCCGACACTGTAGACGCACCAGTCCCGAGTTCTGTTCTCATTAGAAATCACATCCACTGGCTTATCCCGTTGAGCTAAAGGTCGAACCTCTCACACGAAATGTGTCTGCGTTACTGCTTGGTTCCAAATCATGCATGCTATCAGATAGTAACCGCGAATGCAATCAAATTCATTGTCTTTATATATTGGATTTTTTTCATATTCATGTGTTCAGAGATTAGGGTGAAAAAATTGAACAGTTGATGCATTTTCTATCCCTGAAAATGTTTATTAGTCCGAGCATGTTTATATTTTACAAATAAAGTGAGCTCCAATGGAGGTGGTAGCCTACAAATCCGAAGACTATCTGGACGTCCAAGATACATCCAATGTGAAGAGTTGGAAATCGTAGGCGGGAAGAAAATGGGACGGGGGCAGGAAGTATTACAGATTGGTCCATTCTGTTGACTGAAATCCAGCCAATGGCTGCTAGAAATAAGTACTTGGTCAAGGTGACTGGCAGTCTGGGTCGTAGAGTGACAGAAAAATGTAAGGGAATGGATACAGATAGGGTAAGCTCGGATGAAGGGAATCCACAACGGTACTGATAAACAAATGATAGGAATCAACCGCTTGACGGTGTGCTTGTGACCGCAAGATGGGCATTAGGAGAGAAACGCTGACGAGACAAGTTGTCTTAGGCGCAATTTGGTCAAGGTGAGAGAAATAAGACAAAGCACCATCCCATGAACGACTGTAGTATTCGAGTGTTTGGCAAATCGGTGCATTATACAACAAAAGACAGTACTTCTAAGTAAAGCACTGTCTGGAGCGGACTAGGAAACCGATTTTGTGATATAGCATAGGAAATATATGGGGAAACGTACAGAAAACACATAATACCATGGAGTATATGGTAATAACTCCTAGCCAAATCCTTAGTTTGTAAACAAGAAGCTTAGGGCAGAATGGACAGTAGAAAAGAGAAACTCTTTCTTCATTGTGTGTTTGAACAGCAAATCGATGAACTGGGGAAGTTCCCAGTAAGCTCATCGCATGCGTCATGTGGCTGGATTAATAGCGAGGTTTCAAAGGTGAATTCGTTTGTATATCGTTTGTATAGCAAATGAAGCGTGAAATGAAATGCTAGGAAGCACTGGACAGCTGTTTCGACCTGGTTGGGTCTCATCAGCAGTGACAATCCATCGACTCAACTAGGGATCGAACCCGGGACCTCATGGGCAGAACGCAAGCATGCTACCTACTCGGCCACAGGACAGCAGACCATACTGTTTTTCATTGCTCACTTGAAATAGTGAGGTTATCGAACATCAAAGTAACCTATTCGTGTTCTGTTCAAACGTATGCTCAAAGAATCCGATCTGAATTGATGCAAACGACTCTGACTGACTCACCATCACACTATAAAACAATGAATCTGACCCTGGGAAACCATGACAAGTTCTCTGAGGATCCAAATCGACCACAGTTACCCGGGATTCGCTTTTGTTTTAGGTAGGGTATGACAGAATATTCGAGCACCTTCTTTGAGAATTAAAATGAATTTAGACCACATTATTCCGAATGATATTGCTCAAGAACGCACGTCACTTGTATTTAGTGGAATATGGACTATAAAGTGAAAGCGTAGTATACAAAGTTACCAGCGCTAAGCAAATTGAAGGATCATTTTGTTAATCAATAAGAAAAAAACGGTGGAGATCAAATTGTACAGTAAAGTGCAGATCCAAAACATTAGCGCGTTCTGTACAATCGGACCAGTGATATTTGGCTATACTTTTGGTAGTTATTCTGGATTTTCTATCCCGTAATAATAGGAGTCACTTCATTGTGCAATATCCCATATGTTTGCATCACGCTGTCCAAATAACCAACCCAGTGATCTCAAATGTATGGGTTAGGAAAGTTGAGAGCAATGACCATTTCCACTTGTGTTTTTTTAACAATAAGTAGTATAGGAATTTCAATACACTGATTATCCTAACGCTATAAGAAAAAACTTTGAGATTTGCATGAGAATAATAAGGCAAGATGCATTGGTAAGAAAATAACAAAATCTGAGCCGCATAATTCCTGGATTTCTTATTTAAGTTTTCTTTGGGAGGCCTAAATTGAATAGCGCCAATCGCTCTGTGATACCCGTGATAATCAGCTGGCAAGAGAATGTGGTTTCTTACATTTTTTTCCTGATCATCAGCATTGTGCATCACCTATGATTAACAAACAGGGAGAAGAATGAGTATAGTAAACATAAACACAACACAGACATCATGATAAGGATATCCCCCGACAATTTGCACAATCCAGGTCGGCTAAAGTAAGTAGAAAGGCGAATCGTTGTATCCATTAGAAGGTATTAAGCAGACTCGAACAAGTGAATAAACGGTTTAGTTCATATTGTTTTAGTGGCCATGCATGTCTCACCTCTGTCAGCATAGTTTGTCATCACTTTGGTGCGTTTTCACTACTGTGAATTGGAAGACATCTATAGTTACTTGCTCAAATACACCAAAAGCTGAAACCAAACCGAAGACAATACGGAAGATCTCACAACATTCGACTGCGGTGCCGATGCTAGAAATGTCTTTCTCATCGAGCAACCAGATAGCTCACCAGAATAATCGGTCGGAGGTGATCAGACGAAACAGGCCTATGCGACACAACTGTGCGCAGCAGTAGCGGTATACTGTGAAGGAATTGAATCGCTCCGCAAACTAATTGGCTTTTATATATCAGCAAACAGATTTGCTTTATTGCCAACGTATGTCTATCAGTTGTGTTGAGGGTACACGATTTTCCTTCACCTGGTAATCTCTTGAGCGCGTGCGGAGGCGGAGGGGGGGGGGTGTCGCGCAATCCGATACGGGACGGAAGTCATCAATTGACCGGTGGACTGTGCATTTGTGGCTGACGATCTCCTTCTGAAGCTGGTGTTGTTGGTGTGGACGGATACGGGTCTAAGTGTGTGTCTCTGATTATGCTCACAAATTACGGAGTCGATGTGTTTTATGATTGACAGCGAACATGATTCATTCTAAGCCTCTGAGACTGGGTCGCCTTGGTTCACAATGTCCCAACGAATTAGTTTCAAAGCATATCCAGACAAAGACTTTCAATTCAATCATTTGGGTCAAAAATAAATGATTAGTGGCATTTCGAATTTGAAAATGCCTTTGGGAGAACGCTCACCACTTACTAGACAGTTTTTTGGAGCTGTTTATTCAATGCATCATGTTGCATACAAGAGTAGAGACTTGAATAAAAACAATTAGTGGTATATGCATCATTCTAATGATTCATGTATATGTACGGTTGAAAGTAGGCTCGTAAATAAACCGGTAAATAGAAACAGTAAGTCAAGTCCAACGCATTGTGATCTATGATCTGGACCGTCCTAACCATGGATACAACCATGTCTGAAGTACATTGAACAGCTTCACTGTGTGTTCATTTTCCTGTATGACAGCAATAAACCGGGGAACTACAAATTTCGTGGTATACTGATGGAGCTATTTATTTTTGTGTTTGTGTTTCTTGCAAGTTGGCCACAGTGACATCACTGACATTTTTGTCCTCCTTCGTGGACTTCAGAACCGGATACAGTGACATCAGCCGCTTAGTTTGAAAAGCATTGCCACCGATCTCTGTTGCTTTCAGAAGTCCTATGAAACGTTCGCAAAATTTAGGATCTGTGTGATCTTCTGACTGATAAATTCGGAATATGTTTATCAGAGAGATTCATCGGGACAACGCAGTAAAAGGCCAAGAACAGGGCCATATATTAAGAGGACCATAGAGCACTATCACCAAAGAAAAAACACCAAGAACTGCGAACCTCACTCTAAAGGACCTCGTGATGGCTTATAATCATCAAATTAGATGGTTATCATTATTTTCTCGTACTCTATTTAGTTAATAAATGTGCAATCATACAGTTTTCAGAGTGGGTCTTTGGATAACAAAATTTTTACTCAAGTAGGCGGTGTGGGCGGGAGGTTATACACGCAATATCTGAATCGCGAGGCCGTTCAGCGATCATGCTTGACCAAACATCTTGGTCATCTAACTTCGAAATTCATACTTTCTTTCAAAAAATGATGTTTATTAAAATGACTTGGTTGAGAAGCGAGAGGGATTTCATCATACATCTAAGTTATTCCGTCCAAAGCATGTGATTCAATTTGGTGAATAAATCCCACACACTTCTAGTTGCTCTATCCATCTAAAATATCAGATTAGTGAACTTCATAGATAAACCAGTGAATTTTCTAAATAATTCAACTGAATGTGTTACACGTCACCTTTGTTTCTGTGTGTCGCTCGTTCACTTATACCGTGTCTCCTTTGCAACGTTTGATTTTGCATTCACTTCGTAACCCTGGGTCCTCAAACTCGAGTAACAGTGAAACCGATCCGGAATATACCCGCTTCCGTTGATTCGGTTCAGGTTGGCCTTTTACGCTCGAAATTCCGGCTGTGCACTGGGGGGTGCACTGGGGGGTTTCTTTCAACTCGCACGTTCCAAACCTTTACCGCCAAGTCCAACAAATCCATCCCGGGGCTACTTTGAACACAAACACACACACAGGCATGCATGCACGAGCACATATGTGTCCGCTGACGGTCTCAGTCGGATTGGGGCATTTTGAAGGACCAGCTGTGCCGACACAAACGACCGGGCTTCGACAACTGAACCCCTAAACGGCGCCGGTGACTAGACCGTTTCTTCGGTATGTTCCACCAAATCCATGAACAGGGTTGAGATGAGGCACGTAGAAATAGTAGTTGTTCCTGGTTTTTTTCGGTTCTCCATTCTACACCACCACCATCACCCTCCTCAAACTGGTCAATCTCTACAACATGGCTAGCAATATCACTAACAGATTTAGGTATTTGAACCTCAGGGAGGAGTCGTGATCCTCAGTATAGACTGAAGTCAAGACAACACACACAGACACAGAGGGGTATGCAGAATAAACGAAAACTATCGGGAGCACCGGGACACCGACGTGTCTGTGGCACAACTGTGTTCCAATGAACCTCAGCGGGTGGGGAGCTGCTGGTTGCTTGACAGCTGAGAAGAACCAAAACAAAAAATATTAAATTCTGTTCGACAGTCCTTGATGGATCAAAATATTTATTGACAAATTATAGCATCAAAAGAAGATAATCTTGTGCACCTATTCACATCTTAGATTGACTTGTAGATCTGGGAAGGTTATTACAGGTAATGAAAAGTGGATGTGAATCCATAGTAAACGGATCATGGGGTTCAGAATACCATTAAAGTTATCCAGGGATTTTGGATCCCAACATTTGCGTAGCTCTACTCAGCTCCTGTTGATCTGACGAAAGGTAAGGGGGTTAAGTATTATCACCGTAATCACTTTCACTATTATGAATAATATTTGCACTCACCATCATTATCCGAGTCTAAGACTACTTAAATTCGGTTTACGGTTCATTGCCAGTAAGATGTATGCAACGGGAAAGAGTGAAACGCTAAACTGGTTATGAGGTTAGGGTAATGTTGAAACGGTTTTCTGTGCGAATTAGCTTGAATGAAATCAGTATTAACTTGCACTATAATGCGGAAGACTATTTTGCCCCAGAGTGGGTTATCTTTCACTGTGTTGTTGTATTTGGTTATTAAAAACTATAACTAATGCAGAATCAACCCTGGAGGACACAAGCAAAATACCAAATAGACCACACAAATCACTCACTGCAGAGAGAATCTCCTAATAACGTTCTACCCCCGGACAATTAGGATTCCTCACTGGAAAACCAATTTCAACTCGGAGGAGGCATCTGCCATGTTCGGAGGCGGTTTGAAAGTCCGTGAAATTGGTGAAAACGGCGGTGTCACTTGAACTAGAAACTGCTTGTGTATTTATTTTGTATTCTGATGTATTGCGTATCCTAATTCAAAATACCGATATCTGTTTTAGGTTACTTTTTATTCATTTGTGTTCACGGTTTACGAGTGAAATACATTGTTCCGCTCCATCACATTAGTAATTGCTCCTCCCGGATTTCAAATGATCCACGACCAATGGGAATCAAATATAGTGATTTCCCTTGTGGTTGAAAACACCGTATTGAAGATGTGAACACACCATTTTGCTCTCTGTGTACCGTTCGTGCTTCATTAGATCAACGTAGATTCAATGTTGCGCATTTTAAACGAGGGAAGAGAGAGGTCTTTAGTACATACACGTCCACTGGACGGTCCAGAAAGAGCGACCCAAATCGCAATGATCCCTGACTATCGGGTAAAGTTACCCGGTAAATTGTGATCCGATCAAATACAGTTACATACAGTGTTTCCGGTTTGACAAATAATATATATATTTGAATGGGGTGCTATAAAGTAGTAAGAACGAGCTTATTGAGCAATTTTTCTGCAAAAACAAAAAAATCAAATCTGACCCCCTCCCCTTCCAACTCACAAATGGGGAGCAGTTGAGACATGCCAACTCCAATGTTGCTCTCTGATGAAATTTTCCTTTCGGATGAATTCTTGTTAGCGAGTGTGGTCAGTATCAACTAAGTGGTATAAAACAGAAACTTAACCACATGGAGAAAACTAAATTTTCGTTATTAATTGTCGTTTGTATCGATGTAATAAACTACACATGGATCACGGAGACTGCTCGGTTTGGACGATGATAAAACATAATAGTTCATGTTCCAGGAGTGAAAACTGTGCTTACTGGGTGTTCTTTCCAACAAGAACTATCCTGTTACTACAACGTCACAGCAAGCGGACAGTTTCTATTTTGTTTCCAAACCGCATCGACCATGAATATATCTCCCTGGAGGTTTTGAGTTCGAATCACATCATGGCCATTTAAATTCCGTATTTGGGTATTCAATACAGAAGTCAAAAATTATTAATATCACTGCCAGATTGTTATTATCATATTCAGGTAAAATATAATCTCTTTTCTAAAATCAAATTAGCATCAATTTTTAAGGTGGATTCACATATGGACAAATTGGGAGAAGAATTTGCAAGTTTCTATAACTAAAAGCGCTGTTACGTTTGCTGCTTATCAAATAAACTTCGCCCAGGCAAAGTAAAACGGTCTGATCGATTGTCACTGGCTTCAAGTGGGTAGCATGCTTCCATTCTACTCGTCTGTTGAGATCTCCAGTTTTGATCGATTAGATTAGCTCTACTGATTGGACAGGACCAAAGCAAGTGTACGAGGTTTCCTAGCTTTTGAGTTTACCACCTCGCCGATACCGGGCAACAACCAGACAACGATGCATTTAAAGTCATTTACAAATTGCCCCAAAGCAATTCAATGTACTTTCGGAAACGTCACTTGGTCACCGCAGAAGCTGTATCAATTAAGTCATGAACCCACAACTGTGCAAACAAAAGAAAAATGATTGTCGCACTCCAGGCGTCTTGGCCCTAACCAAACTTACGTGACGATCCGAACCATGCATGACCTCAGTTAAGTCGTGATGACGCAACAAGGCGTGACCAGTTGCACGTAAAAAAGGGTAATCGGGAATTTCCAGAATTAACCTTGGTCACCCTTCGCCCCCGTTTTTCAACTCACTCCGGTTAAAATTGATTAAAATTGACAAACATTGTTGTATTTTCACAGTTAACCTCAATAGACCAATCACATTTATTTCTACATTTGATACAAACATACAGAACTGTAAATGCCTGAAGACCAAGTTATATCTTTTGTCTTTTAATTCACCTGCTCTTCGCTCTCACTCTTAAACTCTTGCAACAAAATTCCTCAGGAAAATTAACGGAAATGTAAAATATTTCAGCTGTTGATAAAAAATCTTGTTCCGAACATGGTCATTACCAATTCATCTCCCCCCCCCCGGCAGAATACTAATAACATTAATTATCGTAGGGATACAGAAGATGAACTTCAGATGTTCGGTTCCGTTTTTACTTGTTTCACGTGAGTAACTCAAAAACATGATGCTTTCTTTTTTTCCAACTACTACCCCCACACACACACACACACCCATCACGCACACACACACCTAAATTAACGTTGTGACTATTTGGAAACAATTTTTTGCATTGTCTATCAGAACTATTTCCTGATACCTGTGTCTGGTCTTGTTCCCGTTACTGCATACATGTTCACGTGATAATGTTACTTATAACTCCGACCTCTTGATTACATTCTGTGTACAAACACTTCAAACTTGTGGTCATGTGAGATGATGAACAGAATAGTGTAATCTGTATGTGCTCACGTTTATTCCAAAATCACATCTAGTGTCCATCTTGAGTCTCTTTGGTAATCACTTTTGTAGAGGTATAAACTCGTGCATCTTTTGACTGGATAGATACACGGGGATGGATGGGTCAATGAATAGTTTTCAAAGTTGTTTCACCTTGAAGTTTGGATGCAAACAATCGGTTCAAACAAACCTCATTTTGTCATGACAGAATGTCTTCGTTGTCTCGATCATATTGACTCATTCAAGTTAAACTCTGCCGACTCACATATATAGGCGTGTGAGCGGGATAGTGTTTGCAGTTCGATCAATAATAGAGAGACCATCGGATGACCCATACCGTATACCTACTTCACTGAGTGAGTGGTAGTGATCACGTAAGAAATGCTGGTCTGCATAAGTCGGTATACTTCAAGTGCACACAAGGCTTCGACAAATCGAATTCTCCTCCATGAACCACTTTTCTGAAATAAAGCCTGTATTAACTGGACCATGAACCAGTATGAATATAAGAAAAGTCATAACAACTGGCCGACTCATGCACCTTGATTTGGTAAACCCCATTATTGGGTTTTGCAAAATGAGGCCGGTAAACGGAGCCGGATGATTTGATCGAATGTTGCGGACTGGTGCTCTCAATTGTCCTTTACTGTTCTCCAACTATACATCTTTATCACGATAGCTCCATCTCTCTCACACTCTCCCTCATTTTCTAAACATTCTTATTTGGTGAGTTCATTGATAACCCAGTGCTCATAAGCAGCGCCAGCTGAACTAAGATTACTCATTCAGATTAACAAAGATAGTTAATTCCGAAAACAGCGACACGACGTGGACATCAGTAGAAAGTTCGTCTACTGGCTAACTCAGTTTCACCATTACACTATGTCATTGTAACCTGCGTTCATTAATATGCAATACGAAATTCCGGGCAATGTCTACCAGGGTTTGTATCTTCTCTAAATGACTCGACATAAAGATTTTGTTTCTATTCATTTCATCCTGTCTCTTGTTCTTTGATTTCGACTGATCAGAATTTTGGACCAATACGTTCGCTCATCGCCAACTTCCGACGGAAACTGAGGACCTGCAGAAAGATGCCGAACCACGACCGGAGGTGGGTTATCGAAACGATGCTCGCATTCGCCCGAGCTCAATGGATCGGTGGTCGACACGCAATGAGGACGCATCGGTTACCGTGCCTCAAATACATGGACAATCAGACTATCGGACCCGTGAACATCAGTCTCGCTGGATGCGTCAAACGGATGTGAAACGTAACGGAACAGTTGCACGAGGTGGTGCGGCACGATCGAACAATCGTGAGCATCGATCTAGTTCCGTACACACGACCGGTTACGATCGGTCCGGATTTGATGGCTATCTGAATCGTCTCGCTTATCTGCACAGGGGACTAACGGGACCGGGCGAGCTGGTCACGGCAGTTGGCGCATCCCGAAAGGACGACTTTTCCCGGGCATGGGATCAAGTTCGCTCGAAACCGGTTAGTGCTCCGCGTCAGCCGGACAGTACAACTGGACTGACCAATCCGGGCAAGCTGCAAGCGAACGGCCGATGTCGAAGCTCCCAAACCGGGGTAAGTGAAATGCACATTATCAAATTCGAATGTAACCATCCAATTTACAGAGTCATCCACCAGTTAGCATGTAAGCTTACTGCCCCGACAGGTTTTCCGTAGGATTCACCGGAGTCCACCGAATGAGCTTCTAAGACAGGGTTAACTGTTCGAATTGTTGTCTGACAGATTTGAAGTTTGTATGTCGATTGTGAAAAGTTCTGTAGCCACCGAGGCTTATGCTCAATATCAGTNTCCAATATCTATAGAATCTTTAGTGCAACCAGAAGCCCAGTTTTATGGACCTGTTTCAATCCGGGACACCGCAACATCCCGCTCATCACCGCTACTGTATCCAACCACGTGTGCGGATGCATCCACGAAACTGGTACATAAATGCAAACGTTAGCGATCAGTTCCCTTCCGTTCACTTTTGTATACTGACCAACCTCTTTGACGTCGTAGTGGAAACCAGAACCAGTATTTTCGTTGGAAATGCGTGTGTTCACAGATCGGATTAGCTTCCGCCGAGGTCTGCATACCACACGAACCAGTCCGAATAACCCGAACCCGTGTGGTTTTGGCCGTTTTGTAAAAGCGGTTCTAAAACACACACAATCGACTGTAATTGATGAGTTACTAAATTTGGGATTCACTTTCAAAGTGCAGTATGAGTTCCACCGCAAGGGAAACAACATTCTTCCACACACTCACAAACACTCATTGTCTGTGTGTGTAGGTGGCTGCAAACGATCTACTGGCGGTTAATGGAATGACCATGGCCAAATTCGTTCCCATTTCGACCATGTTGGATAGTGGCCTGTGTGAGGTACAGGTGACGATTATTATCGGAAACCATAATAACGGAAAGGTTCACGTGATTCCGTTCGACGCTGAAAGTGGACGTATATGGTTATGTCACGTGAGCTATGACCAGGACGTGGGTTGAAATGTAGGTGAACAGTGTACGATACAGTTTTTCTTGTGGAGCTATCAGTCAGCTCTGACTCCTTTTCTCATTTACACAAAAGACCTCCTCGTCAGACCGTAAACTGGGAGCACATCATTTGTGTCAAACCGATTGCTCTCATTTCACGAAACAGAATGGAATTGAGAGGATTAATCCTTTGTTTGTGGGTATGTATGCGTTGAAGTTAGAAGCGAGGAAGATGTTTACCACCTCCCGGACTACCCGCATTCGTGTGTATATCTATATTTTTTTCACACACTTCTGAATCCAGACTGTATGCCTAGCAAATCATGGATCACTAATCTTTATGAAAAAGAAAGACGTTCCATGATTTGCATGTGGGCGGAATACTGCTTGGTTGCCCAAACCAAGGCAGGTGAACTCACTTGAGGGTTCCACAACCGGAGACTTCAGCTAGCCAAAGCCTGACCGGCAAGCCAGCGGGGCGGAGTGCAAAAACCGTAATCCATTGGGGGCCGGTGTCCAGTTCATCGGATCATTCGCCCTTCGGACGAGGTCAAACATCCAAGATGCCCAATACACTTCGATGCCCAATCGAGCCAGTGACCACTGCCACAACCGGGAAGGTCTGTGGTTCGTTCGTGTTCTCTTGGTTGGTTTGGAATTAGGGTTTTTGGCCAACTCCCCACAAACATGAGTATTACCTCACAACACTGGTAGTACTATTAATAAGAATAAAGGTAGCAATACGACTCCTACCACTACCATTACTACTATAAACAAACATTATATTTATTCTGTTAGTACCAGTTGTTTGAGTCCGCGATGCCCAATTTTTCGCGGAAAGTTTGTCGTTGTGATCAATGTCTTCATGACGATGCGCACAACTCCTAGGATTTGGTTGGTGTTGATCTGCTGATTGACACGCCCCTGACTTTCGTACCATATATGGTATATATAGTATATATATTGTGCCCACTATACTTCCCCATTTTCTCTTTACCTCTAGTTTCACGTTCGTTGTCTTCTTCCTACTGTTTCGTCTAAATGGGCGGCAAAAAGACAACAACGAAAACCGGGCCACGAAAGTGCATGGCTCATGGTGGTGCAAACTGAAACTGAAAACTTGAGGGAAAAAAACTAATCCTGGTATTTGCAGATTTTGAGTTTTGGTTATTTCTTGCCTCGTATACGGGTTCCGTCAAGTGATGATTGTAATCTGTTCGATTTCTTGAAAGCCAGTCACGTGTCGAGTTTCAACGTTCAAAGTTCAGGTACTTGACATGTTTTTGTCGTGGAAAAAGACTTGGGAAATTAAACCAAGATTCGGCATGAAGGTATGAATGTCCTGACGAACGGGCTGATGTAGGTACCAGTTGGGGATCTTGTGACCAAAATAATCAGAGATCACATACATCGGCTATTTGACTATATCGTACACGGTGGCTGTGATACATCTAATTGCTCTTTACAAGAAGACGGTTTGCATGCATTGAATGTACCCTTTTACTGGTGCTGCCTTCAGTATTAGGCTGTTCCATACAATCGTTTATCATTTCTTCATGTCTGTAGCCTTCTTTAATACACACCTTAGTGTGGTGAACAGCAGATGGGGAAAGCCCCATAGTCACGAGGAACTGATGTTCAGTTGTAAAAAACGGCAACCCAAGTCCCGCGACTTGGACTGGTGAAAGATATAAGGCAGAGTACTGAACCGGACGACAGTAAAGCTGCCTACCACCAAGTTGGGACTGGAATCTCGGGCCACATGGTCCGAAGCACGCCGATGACAACGACCAAGCCACTTCGCTACCAGTAGCCCCTATGATAACAAAGAGTGCACCGAGGCAAAAGCTGCAGGCCCAATGGTTATATTAACGGAATTGAGTTGGAATGTTTGTGCAACCTGCTTGAGTTGTGGCGACAGACAAAATGCGAAAGTGCAGCTGCCTAGAAGAATAAATTTTAAACTTGTACAGAAGTTCTTAATGATTCAGTCATGTTTGCCGTTTGACTGGTGCCCACAAGATTTACAACTACCGCACCTTTGACCAACTTATTTACCCCGCTTCTCAACCGCATTGGAGGATTATCAGGGATGCGTTAGNTGCGTTAGGACAGACACCCAATCTTGTCCTCAAAATCCTTCGTTTCACAGGGAAAATGAGGTGGTGTACACGTAAAATACCTTGAGAATCTGGAGCTCTATCTGCTCGATGCATATGCACTGATGCAGTCAATGTGAAGCCAGTTTAAAGTATAAACAGAGCGTTTCGCTACAAATAATTGACTTAAACGGTTGTACTTGACGTATATGAAATGATGAAGCCAGGCACTCATACATATAGCGACGGAAATGTGATTGAAACCATTAAGCTCAAGAGGAACACCATTTAAACACATCTCATTCTGAGAATACAACTTGGTGAACAAGCTCGTCGTCAGTATGTTCCCTGCACGATTGATCGTCTGTCCGAGCGCCACCTTAAGCATCACCAGGTCTGATTGAGAAGTGGAGTAATTAGGGTTAATCACAAATGCAATCGTGTAGCACCTTGTCGACACTAATAACATCGCAAGCGTTCCAGCCCTCGTATAGAGTTCAAACGGGACGGTTTACACAGGTGCGACTTCGCATTCCAGTCACAGCGGAGGCAGTTTGAATCCGTCTTCACTACCTCCTTTTTGTGTTCAGAACCACTTCATGCAAGCACTCAAACTCCCAAGGCCGGATTGCTGATGGTGATCTGTCATGAAACATCCGAGCAAGTAATAATTCAGGACCAATTATGGTGCAAACCGTTAAACAATTTAATTACTTTCTCCTTTCTCTTGTAAATCCTTATATGTAGGCAGTCATATGTACAATGTTGTATTGCATGATTAAGATGCCCTGAAAACAAGTTTGCTTGGCGGTGTTTGTTCTCACTATGCTCTAAGGGGCTGTTCAAGGACTTTATTCGCTCACGTGCTGAACAGCAATTTTCTTCCACAGAATGTTCCCTTCAGTAAACGTGCTGCTCATTGAATCGAGTGGGAAGGATTAGGTGAAATGCTGCTTAATGGTTCCAAATGTTTAATCATTTTTTTCTGGCACGTGCCTATCTGTTTTTAACGTGGAGCACAACTATTCGAATTGTTAGGTATTTCCGAGTCTGCTATTAAATTCACAACTGGTGTGTTGTCATGGTGGTCGAAGTTTAAAAAAAATTGAGCAAGCGTTTATTCAATGCTGTCAAATTCAAATTCAAATTTTTATTATGGGATATAACTTACTAAGACTTCGCTTTTACAAATCCCATAGGGTGTTTACACTTTGGTTCGGATGACGATTCACAATATCACAGTTAGTCCATGAAAGTAAAGTAGTAAAGTAATGTTTTGACGAGCACAGGAGAATATGTTGTAGTTGGGTGTTGAAATGTAACGTTTGCCAGGGCATCATCAAGCTGAGGCTTGAAAGATACTAATATTGGGGCACAGACCACGTTAGCTGGTAGAGAGTTCCATGTGCTGCACACTCTGACTGCAAACGAGTNACAACTTCAGCGGATGCCCTCTGAGATGAACGTTGTGCGATAAAACCAACAGAGATCTACATGGGTGGTTGGGTTGTTGGAAAATCCGATAGAGTAAAATCATACCGCCTCTGGGTCGACGATACTGGGATGAGTATAGCCCCAGGAGCTGTAATCTTTCTCCGTGGGTCTTGGAATGGAAAACTTTGACCATTTTGGTAGCCATTCTCTGTGGATGTCCGAGTGCCTTCAGATATGTCAGTTGCATGGAACTGGCAAATCTCAAAACCGTGTTACCATGATCATCTTTGTTGGCATTGCCAAATTGCCATGGTATTCCCACTGCTCACTGCAAGTCAGTTTGTACAACCATTGATCATGCGCTAATTAGGGTTCCTGTGTTTTAACTACCCATATTACCGACCAATAATAAACGGAAATAGATTAAACAATACGCTGAGCGGCGGCAAGATGCAGCTAACGAAGATGAGCACTTTGGATGTAGGTGGAAAATGAGGAGATACATGATGGCTTCCATTCGCCCAAGTGAATAAACTGGTCCAACTTCCTCAGCTAAGTTGATCAAGTTGGTCGGTTAAACTTTTCATACTATTATGTCAGGTTGATTATCATTCCTCTTCTGACATTCATTCTATTGTATAGTATTGTACTGGGCATAGTTTTGGCAAGCACGTAAGCTTACATTTGAGCTAAAAGAACTATACACGCCAACCGTTACAGAGAACATACTCAGCGGGGAAATCTGTACAGATATGTGTACGTTTCATAATTCAGGGTTAATACGAATTTCACTAGTTACCCTTTCTTTGTTTTTGAGTAAACATCCAAGATAAGGCATGGGTGAATTTCAGTAAACGT